GCCCAAATCGTTTTAGTCTACGAAATTTTTGTGAATTTTTAAATAAATTTTCAGCAAATCTCTACTATCTATATCTATCTATCTATCTATCTATCTATCTATCTATCTATTTATATCTATACTATATTTAAATGCAAGTGACAGCTATCTCCCATGCTTAAGCGTAATAATTTAAAATCTTGAACGAAAGATTTTTTTCATGTTTAAGCTATATCATATATTGCAATGCTTAAGAAATTTTTTCAATTAGTTTTACGCAACGTCGATAATTTTTCAGTATTTTTTCCAGGCCAAATTAAGTCTGTCTGTCTGTATACCTGCTTTTTTGTTTAATTTGATTATGTCTGTCTACCCGTCTCCTAATTTTTTAACTTTCAATTTGGTTTCGACGATTCAGTTCAAAATAATACTACTGTCAAACGGTTGTCTCCAATTCTTCATCTTTATCTGGATTTTTGTATTTTTTGGGGCTTTTTTCTGATCCTTTTTTTTCGATCTTCTTATTCTATCTTTTTTTCTAATTTTTTTCGATCCTTCTTATTTGATCTTTTTTTTTCGATCTTTTTTTCTATCTTTCTTCGATTTTTTTTCTCTTTATTTCCTATTTTTTTCGATCCTCCTTTTCGATCTTTTTTTCAATTTTTTTTTTCAATCTTTTTGATCCTTCTTTTTCGATTTTTTTTTTTTCAATCTATTCGATGTTTTTATTCTGTCTTTTTTCGATCCTTCTTCTTTTCGGTCTTTTTTCAGTTTTTTATATTTTTTTTCGATTCTCCTTTTTCTTAAATTTCGTCAATCCTTTTTAGATTTCTCTTTCAACCCTTCTTATCGATCTATTTTTCTATTTTTTTTAAATATCTTTTTGTTTCTGAATTAAAACTTAAATTTTCAAAAAACTTGACGTAATTTTTGTTTTCAAAATTTGAAATACCTTACCCTTCAGTTGGGTGCTGTCAGGGTACTCTCATGAGTTGCGAGTCTTGCGTCCAAATTTGACTGCTCAAATCCTTGTAGTTTTACGAGATATGTGATTTTTCAAAAAAAAATTCAGAAAAATTAAGAATTTTTCTTCTTCAATATTTGAAATTCCCATCCTTGTAATTGAGGGCTGTCAGAGTAGTTTCAAGGGTTGCGAACCTTGCCTCCAGTTATGACTGCTCAATTTTTTGTAGTTTTTGAGAAAAAAAATTTCAAAAAAACTTAATTTATTTTGTTTTCAAAATTTGAAATGCCTTACCCTGTAGTTGTTTGATTTCAGTGTACTCTCAGGGGTGGCGAACCTTGCCTCCAGTTATGACTGCTCAAATCTTTGTTGTTTTCGAGATATGACGTTTTTGTGACTTTTTCAAAAAGTTTTCAAAAAACCTAAATGATTTTTTTTTTCAAATTTGAAAATCTTTACCCTGCAGTTGGGTATTGTCAGGGTACTCTCAGGAGTTGCGAACCACGTTTTTTGTGATTTTTCAAAAAATTTTCAGAAAATTTAACAATTTCTTTTCAAAATTCGAAATGCCCAACCCTGTAATTGGGGTCTATCAGAGTACTTTCAGGGGTTGCGAACCTTGCCTCCAGTTATGACTGCTCAAATTTCTGTTGTTTTTGAAATATGACATTTTTTGTGATTTTTTTCAAAAAAATTTTCATAAAACTTAAATTAATTTGTTTTCAAAATTTGAAATCCCTTACCCTGTAGTTGTGTGATATCAGGGTACTCTCAGGGGTTGCGAATCTTGCCTACAAATATGACTGCTCAACTTCTTGTAGTTTTCGAGATATGACTTTTTTTGTGACTTTTCGAATAAATTTCAGAAAACTTAACGAAATTTTTTTCTTAAAAATTTGAAATTTCTAACCATGTAATTGGGTGCGTCAGAGTACACTAAAAGCCTGTAGATCTGGTTTCCACTATCTGCGGTTTTTCCTGAGTTGTCAAAAGCTCGAAGCACCGGTGGTGCGTTACACGTTAGTTAAGATTTAAAAAAAATTACACAAAATTTGAATTTTCCAACTCTAGTGGGTTGCTCTCAAGTTACTCTCGGAGATTGCAGATCTTTCCTCCAAGTTTGAATGCTTAAACCGTCTTTGTTTCCAAGATATGCCGTTTTGTTTTGTTTTTCCAAAAATTTGGGGTGCTCTGTCAAGGTAGTCTCAGGAGATGGGACTACGCCAAACGGATGACATCCGCCTTACCCACAGATGGACCTACGTAGGACCGGGGATAAAAAAAAGCGTTTACTTGGACTCCAAATATGACTGCTCAACGCCTTTTACTTTTCTTGATACTTTTGTAGATGTTTGAAAAAATATTTATTTTTAAATATATATATATTTTTAACACTTTCGAAGCTAGTGTATTAGTACGAAATCTCTTTTTTCCCATCTAAGTCGTAAATATTGGTGCGGCACTTTTATGGCGCGGCACCCCAATAATGGTGGGGCACCTTTACAACTTTTTGATAGCATTTGCTTTGACATTTGAATAGTAATAAGTTTAGACAGTTGATGCGTTTTTAATTCATCAAATGAATTAAAAAAGCTATTTGTTTCAAACAACATAACAATGATAAAAACTCGATTTCAGAAATTTTCTAACTCACTATATCTCGCAATTTTTTGAAATGCATGATTTATACATTTTATACATAATGTGACTTTATGCTTTGCGATTTTTATACATGCAAATTTAGTGTGGATGCCTTCAGTGTGTTTTATTCCAAATTATTAATTGCAAAATTGATTCTATTTGTATTTGTAGCTGAATTGCATTGGCAGTTTATTAGCTTATGTAGCTGCTTTATTCGTGACTAGTGTTTTTCGGTTGTTAAGCTTGAGTGGCTGAGGGATAGTGCGTGAGACTCAAAATCTCTTGATTGCAGTAGGTCGCAGATTCGGATCTTACACGTAGCCGAGTTTTTGCTAGTTCGAGGCTTTTTTCTACTTTTTCTTATTTAACTCCATAAAGCTGACATGTTCTCGCAAGTGTTTGGGAAGCGCAGCCTCGCCTCTGTGTCAATGTTTGAAATTGTCAATCCTTTGGTGTTGTGATGTCATTTTACTACCAGCAGTTGAAGATGCGCATCCATCCTAACTTTATTGTTTAGTATTTTTTCAAGTTAAAAGTACGAACTGAAACTCAGTAGTCTTAGATATTTGACCATTTTCGGTTAAAAGGAACCTAGAAATTGAAATTAATTTCATCGTTCAGTTTAAGAAATAAAAAGCGGTTTTGGATACCCCTATCTTCTGATACGTTAGTATTCCTTTCATGTTTTATAAACAAGTAATTGTGATGTTCAATAACCTCATTGAAGGACTGGAGGAGCGTTACAGGCTAGTTCAATTTGGTTTTGCTGAAAGAATGGCAATTTACGCTCTCCAATAAAAGATCAAATTCTAGTTTCGATTCAATTTTTCAGAATTAGCGGCGGAATGAGAAAATTATCGTTTGATCGAGCTCTCTCAATTTGGGTTAGTGATGATCAAAACAGTTTCATCCTTGAAGTTTTATAGAAATTCACGGAGCTTTAAGGTGATCCTGTTTTTCTGAAGTTGGTGCATTATTTCTCTAGCCATTTTTGGTCTCTTTGAGTTCGAGTTCTTGGGCAGTTTTGCAATTGTCTGTTGGCTATATTTTAGAATAGCTGCTGGAGTTGTTTTTCCCCGCTTTTTGGATAGACTTTTAACGACTAACAACTATGGGTTTTCAATTCTTGCTGCAAACTTTCGGTGGTCGTGTGCAAAGTAGTCCCGTTGTCTGGTATGTTTTGAGGTTGATTAATATCCAAATCACAGGCAAGTGGCGTCTTTTATCCTTACTTTGGATGGTAAGTTTTAAATATTTATGAGGTTCAGTGATTTTGAGGACGTGATTGCTTTGCTTATATCTCCCTCTCTTTGATTGATCTTAGGTCTTTTGGATCGATGATAATTTATTTAAGAGGAAATGAGTCTCAGTGTGGCAGTTTGCCCTTAGTTATGGTCGGCTAGCGCGTCTCAGACCAGTAAAGCGTATAATTTATTCATTCGTTTCCTGTCCTAATTTGAAAAATGGTTTGATTGTGGCCGAGTTTGGCTGCCAACAACAAGCATTTGGGGGCGATAAAATTTCGCCGAGATAGTAATTCGTCAAGATAAAATTGAATTAAATTCAGGGTGTTCTAAATGAAATTAATAAATCAAATTCATTATCAGTCAACATTACAGTCATAAAATTTTGCTTCGAAAGTTTGTGGATTGGTCGCCCAAATAAAGCGTCACATCTGAAAGACATTTTTTCAAAATTAGTATATTAAAAGTTCATAGAAAGCTTTGTTAATTGACTTCCTGGTTTTTGTGAATTTCTGATTAATCATTTAATCAAAGCGCAAACGCATTATAATGACTGCTCGAGATTGCTTAGATAAGCTAGAAATGATTGGAGTTTATATTTAGTTTACTAAATGATCAAAAAATTTCAAAACAAAACAAGCCTGGTTGGGAGTGTTTTAAAACAAGGCGAAAAACGTTTTAAAACAAAATATTTTATTTTATAATGTTTTCCGCTAAAAACAAGCGATGGCTAGGAGTCGAACCGCGGCGATAAGGGTATCAGAATGGGAAAGAGGCTGGGTTTCGAAACAGCGTTCGTAGATATTGCTGTTGGCTCTCGTTCCGGAGTTCCCAACTCAGCTGGATTATAATATCGTTTCTCAACAACGACATGAGAGACATCTCGAAAGTTACGAAACCAAATGGAGGCTAAAAAACGCGTAAAGTTAGCATTTTTCTATTGAAAAAAAAACGCTGTTAATATGATTTTTCAAAAAGCTGGTTTTTTCCGAACCCTTGTTTTAAGTGAGTTAGGTATTAAATTTGATCTGCGTTGTTTTGCTGCTACGAATATTTGCCGAAAATATATAGTTTTTTAGGAATCTAATGGTCAATGAAAAATCAGTTTTAGCAATTTTTTATAATGAGCTTAAGAGCTGGAATCGTAGTCTTAAAAATGATTCGTTGTTCAGATAACTACCTGGCTGCCAGTGGGAAAACCGAGTACTATCAACCTCCAATAGCCCTGAAAGCCTCTTCTAATGAGGTCACAGATGATGTGACCATGGCAGACTTAGTACAGAGACTATATGACGACGACATCAAAACCTGTTCCATCTTTACCAAACTGTAGGTTCATTCGTGGATCAGCCCCTCTGTTCTGATTTCAAATAGAAACAGAAACATGAATTATTTTATTGCGTTCACAAAAAGTGACGCCGCCGCCACCACCAAAAGAAATATGCTTTTATTCCCTTGCAAAAGGAAGGGAAATGCTATTGGAATAATTCGTATAACGTTTTAAGCATTGAGAATTGAAACGACTATTCTCATTCAATACGAATAATAACGATTCCTCTCGTAAAGTACGAGCATACGAAACCTTCTTCTCGTAAAATACGAATGTACGAATAAAGAATACGAAGTTAAAAGAAACTTCTCATTTGATACGAAAAGTGGCGTGATTTCCCCATTTGAGTATAAATAGAAGCTCAAAACTACGGGAATTCATTCCAACAACTTCTCTTCTACCACCACCACCACTCTCCTCAACCACCCCAACCCTTCTCTAAAATAATATTCAATCTCAGAAAAAATATCTCCAATCTCACCGTAAAAAATAGATATTGAGTCAAAAGGCAACTTGCTGTAAATTCATACTAATTTCCTTTTTTTAATAAAATATTTCTCAGCGAATTTTAGGTTTACTTTCTAAGATAGAAAGTAGAAAGGACCCTTTATTCCTAGCAAGCGTTTTGTCCGACGTGAATAGTATTGCTAGCGTAATAAATTGGTGCGACCAGTGAGGCTCACCTTCTAAAAAGTCTCAAAAAGAGATAAAAAGCAAAGATTCCAATTCTCAAACTGGAGAATTGTTGAAATTTCTCTTACAAATAAAGAGAAATAATAAATTTCCAAATCGGAAATTTAAGTTTTCTAAACAAATTTATAAACTTTTCTATCTTTTTTTTTTTAAGTTCTAAACTAAATATAAAATGGCTGATACCCCAATATCCCATCCCAACTTGTCTTTAATGACATTTTTGGGAAACGATCCGAACCAAAATGCTACAGCATTTTGGAATTCAGTTGAAAACAAAATTCTTTTCTCATTAGGTCAAAGACCTGCTGATAATGATGCACGACGCAGCTATGATAGCAGACAACGATCCCTATTCGGATCATTGTTAACTGATACATCTCTTGAATGGTTCAATGATAATGTAACCAATGCTACCACATGGGCACAACTCAAAGATCTCTTCCTAAACAGATTCACTGACGGACGAGATCAATTCAAACATAGAATTGATGCTGAAAATGCAGCTCGCCAAGATGGCGAATTAATAAAAAATTACTTCCACAGAATTAAATCTTCTGTAGATAGAGGATGGCCCGAAAGTATTGATGAAACCGTTCATGCTACTGAAGCGGCTCAAAATGCTGAGAGAACTATACAAACCAGACAAAGAAGTCAAAAGTATATCGATTTCTCAATTAAGGGACTAAGACCTCTAGCCCTTAAACAAAAAGCTCATGAATACATGATAGAGCATCCAAATGCCAATTGGGATCAATTCACAAATCATGTAATCACTAAGGATCTAACATTCATTGTTGCTACTGATCCTGCTAATAAGTCAACAACGGATAAAATGACTTCATTAGAAACTCAAATTAAAGAACTAACTAAATTGATCAAGAATCAAGAAGTTAGTGCAATCAATGACCAGACTTCATTTCAACGACGTCACCCTGACATCAAGGGAAGACCTAATAGTACACGATTCTGCGAATATTGTAGAATGAATGGACATTCTATATCTAGATGTTCAAAAAAGCAAGTTCAGGACGAAGTAAATAAGTTGCGAAAGGAGCTCACAACAAAAAATGAACGAAGAGTTTCATTTGAAACCGATTATAAACGAAATCGAAGACCGAATAACTTCCCTAACCAGAGTAACCCTAACCCAAGTAACCGGTTCTGGGATAACCAAAACAGAACTACTAACAATTCAAATCCTAGCCAAAATAACTATGGCATTCGCCATAATTATAACTATAACGGAAACAATTTCCAAAAGGCTAATGCACAATCGTCTTTCAATAACAAAAGAGCCCAAACCTATGATGATAGGTATCCCAGAGAAAACAAATTCAGAGAAAATGAACAAGTTGCTAAACAGTTCTACGACCAAGAAAATAGGCAATTCAATAGTAACCCTAGAGGTCGACCATATAACACTGGAAGCTATAATAGCAATAACAGTCGAGACTCAACGCGATCTCAATCACCAAATTTTAGATCGAATCAAATACAGTCTGAAACTACCCACTGGGTTGAGGAAGAAGTCAATTACTGTGATGCTATCACTGATTTCTTTCCTTTAAACTATTAAAGTCTCCGAAACCAAGCGATGATAGTAATCCTAAATCAAGGATATATCTTAGCTTATATCATTTTGCCACCGGAGACAAAAATAATAATAGTGGACTTGAAATTGAATTCATGATTGATCCAGGATCAACTTGTAGTATCATAAACTATCCAACTTATCAAGAATTGGAAAAATTAGGTCAAAAAATGACAATTTACCGATCCAAAATTAAAGCAAAGACTTATAATGGATCTGATATACGTATGTTTGGCCATACATCCATCCAATCTTGTTTCGAGACTGATGGAAAATATCCATCTAACCACAAAGTGTGGATAACTGAAGAAAAGACTGCTAATCTGTTAGGAGTAGACTTTTGTCATCTCTTCTTAAAAGCTCTCTACTTTGATATCCCCGCAGTTGAACTCAAATCAAAAGAAGGTGTAATATCATACGGGTTGATGAACAACGATAAAGAATATCCTAACGTTTCAAAAATTGTCTCAATTAACTTGAAAGAACCCCTGTTCATTTCAGCACGCTCTACATACTTATACAAACACTTGGCTGAACCAAATTCATACTTCGAAAAAGGGACTACATTCCTGCCTCATAAAAATACAACCAAAACCGAATTGGTTTTCATTAATACAGTTTGTACTCAAATTGAGCAAAGCCTACCTATCCTAATTGAGAATCAGAAAGATCATCCTGTCACACTAAACAAGTGTGTACTAGGCTATGCAGTAACTGATATTCAAGGATACGAGGATAAAATATTTGCTATCCACGATTGTGATGAGTTCACAACGAGAATTTTAAATGAAAGTTCAGAATTCGATAGCTGTTTCATGCTGAACACTGTTGTCAATACAACACAGGAAAGCAATACTCAATTATCCGGCCCCTGTCTACAATATGTAGACTTCAAAAAAAGGTCCATATTCGAATCGAATATGCCCATTGCCCATACAATCTCTGCAGATAGAGCAATGAAAAAAGGATTTGCTGAATCAATTAGCAAAAGGTATCCTGAGCTACGACACTTTTGTAACTCAATACATGCCAACATTAACGATATTCTCATCTTCACTGATCCAAAATCTGGACAAATCATATGTAACCTGATTACCAAACAGAGGTACTTTCAGAAACCCACTTACGACGCTATATTCAATACCTTGTCCGAAATGAAAGATCATGCTATAGCAAATAACATTCGATCTATCGCAATGCCCAAAATTGCTTGTGGCTTAGATAAAATGAATTGGGAAGAAGTTTCCAAAATCATTGTCGATGTATTCCAACATTCTGGAATTACTATATTTGTCTATGTTTCAGGACAAGAAATCAAGGACATGCCTGCCCTTGAAGTGTTTGATACAGAGAATGTATCAGAAATATTTGAACAAATTGGTTCAGATATAGTCAAAGTATGCAAAAATGAAAATGAAATAGCAACCGACTTTTCTAATGATGCAAAGAACCTTTGCAGGCCTCCCTTGAAAGAACAATTTAAAAGTACCGAAACAAAGAACATAATGATCGGCTAATTGCCTTTCTAGTCAACGAAACGTTTACCCAATACTCCTCAATTGATAAGGACAATAGTAGTACTTTGGAAAAAATCGAAACTACTATTAAATTTTTATCTGACTTCGATTTCACACAAAGTGATATCTCGGATGATGAATTTGCAGATCTAATTCAAATGCTGATAGAGGATCAAGATGTTTATTCTCATCACAAATATGATATTGGAAAAACAAAACATAAATTCCATATACCACTTAAAAAGGACGCAACGTTCAAAAAACAACGACCGAGTAAAATCCCAGTCCATCTAAGAGATAAATTGGACAAGTTAATGGATGAATTAATCCAAGCAGGCATAGTCAGAGAACTAAATGAAAAAGATGATATGAACTCATGGTTCGTAAATCCAGTCATCATTCTTCCAAAAAAAGACTACGTTAAGTTGGTCTTGGATGCTAGGTATCTAAACTCAATCACAGATACTAGCAATTGTAGTTGGCCATTAGAACCACTACAAGTTCTCATGACCCGAATAAACGGATCATACTTCACAAGTAGTGATCTCTCTTGTGCCTACCATCAAGTACCTCTAACAGATGAGGCCCAGAAATTAACAAGCTTTATTTTAGGAGGTAGACAATATACCTACCAAGTTGGTTTCTATGGTTTGAAACCACTTCCAAATTTCTTCAGTAAACTAATGAGATATGCCTTCGGACCCCTCATTAAAGAAAAAAAAGCAATTACTTACATAGACGACACTCTGTTACAGAGTCAAAATAAAAATGAAATGTTTGACACAATTCGAGAATATCATTCTCTTTTACGGAAGGCCAACTTAAAAGCTGCCCCTGACAAAACTTTTTTCTTCCTAAGAAAAGTTAAATTTCTAGGCCACGTTGTCTCTAAAGATGGTCTTTCCCCAATCGCTTCACGAATTGATGACATAAAAAAATTGAAATCCCCTGAATCAAAAACAGAAGTTCTAGGAGTATTAGGTGTCATGGGATTCTACAGCACATACATCATCAATTTTCATGTTGACGCAAAATGTCTATATGAACTGGCAAACAGCAGTGATAAGTTTCAATGGCTACCATGCCATGAAGAAGTTTTTCAAAAACTGAAAGACAAATTCTGTCATGATATTTCAAATGCCATACCTGATGTAAACTACCCATTCCACATTCACGCCGACTCCTCAAATGTAGGAAC